CTCCATACCTTACGAAAGGAGGAACCTCCTTTCACTCTACAGCAACACACTACACGGTTACACTGCCACTGTATATAACCACTCCTTCTGGATGATAGCCAACCCCACGAGCTCGTGCCCGACACAACGAAACAAGCTGAAAACATGAGAGACAAGGCAACTTCAACCCAAGACAATGTATCTAGCCATCCTAAGGAACATCAACATTTAAGATCCGTGCGGCTTGGTAATCAGTGGAGACTATCTTTCACAGGTTTGCTAAATCCAAGAACAGGAGACTCGTGATGTCATATGTGAGAGCAGACGAATCATTTTACATAGTGAAAGACGCTATCGTCGACTACGCCAAAGAAGGGATCTGACCATTACAAATATAATTCTCCTACGACACTGGGAAGGCTCGAACCCAACCTATACCATCCGTATTGCAGTTCCTGTACAGTGTGCCAAGATAATATTGGACGACAACACATTCTGGCCCGAGAACGAGAACTGTAGAGAATGGGTTCCCCGTAACACATGGTACTCTAATGATAAACAAGGCGAGAGTGAGTATTAACTGTGATGCCTCATCCTGCAACTCTAGCCATCAACGTATGTACACTGATGACCCTACTCAACCTAGCAACATGGAACATTCGTGGAACGGCTGATCTGTGCAATAAACTCGACAAATGTGACGCCATGCTTGTTACAGAGCACTGGCTAGACAGGGAAAACTTACAGTTTCTGGAAACATTCCACGACAACTTTAATGTGTATTCGAAATCCAGCTGCGTAGTTCTTGAAGTGTAGCCATGTTTGTACGGAAAGGTGACTGGTGCAAAGTTACTCCTATTGACACCCATTACAGCCGCCACGTACTGTGCATTAAACAACACATTGGTACTAGCCATGGTAAACCAAAATATGACCCTGCCAATTATAGAGGAATAACAATGGCGCCTGTATTAAGCAAACTCTTTGAAAGACTTCTTCTCAACAGAATAGAGTCGTGGGTAGATAATAACATAGAACTTCCCCATCCTTTGCAACTTGGATTTAGACGTCACTATGGTGCTGAAACGGCTGTACTTACGTTAACAGAAAATATTGCATATTACAATGAAAGGATGTCGCCTGTAAGCTGTGCATTCTTAGATAACGAAAAAGCATTTGATCGGGTATGGCTTGATGGATTATTTATTAAACTGTAAGATATAGGAATAACGGGTAAACTATGGAGAATATTAAGGCTCTCCTACAGCTCTATGAAATCATTTGTATGTTTTGAAGGATTTAAGTCGGATGCCTTCCCCGTGAATCAAGGAGTAGGTCAAGGTAGAGTAATGTCCGCCTGGCTTTTCACGCTATTTATTAATGACCTTCTAAATATGCTTGAAAACACAGATTCTGGCTTAATTCTGCAATGGGGTAAATGCCCTGGGATCCTTCTTGCAGACGACACTACTTTATTGAGTATCTCAAATAAAGGCCTGCAAAATCTTCTTGATGTCGTTCAAAACTATGCTCATATGTGGCAGAAATATAATGTAAGCAAGAGTGCAGTTCTATACTTTGGATGCCCAAACAATAAGGTTCAAACCACTAATGTATCAATTGGCGATATGCATGTTCCACAAACGAAATCTATTAATATGCAGGTGTATATCTTAATACAGATAAATCATCACTTGAATGTACAAACTCTGCATGTGAAAAGTTACGTGTACTCATCAACACTAACCATAATAATGGGCTGTTCTTTCCTTTATCTGCAGCACGTATCTGGGGGAGGGTAATTTTACCATGTGGCCTCTATGGATGCAGCGTATGGGGTAAACATCCTCTTAAAGAGTATGAAATGCTTGAAGTTGTACAACGTCAATTTTGTAAAAAAGTTCAGGGACTACACAGGCGCACTCCCAGTATTGTTGTATTGGATGCTATCGGCATCATGCCACTACAGTATTACATAGATGAAAGAGCACTCTACTTCTTAGAAAAGCTATGCAATGCAAAGTATAACTGTGTTTTTAAAGTTATGTTTCTCGTTCGCCTGGGTCAATGTATGTGTACAGATAGTTTTACATTCAATGTATGGAGTAGAAAATCTCCGCTATATAATATGCTACAACTTGTACAGAAGTATAACCTAAGTGATACACTTGTTAACTATGTCAATAATTGTCAATTTTTTAAAAAGAAATGCTGGTCCAAGGCCGTGAATGAAATTCTATTAAATCTCATCGAGATGATGTATTTTATGTCCATCTTAATTCAAGACTCAATCTGTCAAGATATGTTAGAATAAGATCAAGTTATGAACACTATCTCTGGAAACTAGCCATGTAGAAGTATGACCATTTAACTAAAATTGCAAGGCTTGTATTCTATGGATCGGCTGAAATTGTCTCTAGAGAATGCTATTGTAAAACTGTTGCCAATGATATTGTAAAGCACGTGTTTATGTCCTGCACGATCAATATGAATGACTGAAATTTACTTTAACTTTTAACTTTTTAACACCATTTGTGATATCCTGGATGTAAATGATTTTGTTAAGATTTGGGAGAAAGAAGATGATGTTATTTTTGCGTTCTTACTTGGTGGATGTCCAATAGAATGTATTATGGAACTAGAAAGAGATGTGTGGGCAGAAGTAACAATTGATGTAAGCCGCTTTATAAGGAAAATGCAATATCTGCTAGAAAACTTGTATGTTTAGGAACATGTGTAAATATACCCCCAAGTCATGTTAAACATGTAACATAATCATATCTGCATATTGTAATCTTCATTCAATTGGAGGAAATAAAGAATATCTATCTATCTCATGTCACTCTACAGCCACACACTACACAGTTACACTGCCACTGTATATAACCTACATACCTTACGTAGGGGAGGTAACTCATGTCACTCTACAGCAACACACTTCACTGATACACTGCCACTGTAAGTAACCTTCATACCTTATGTAGGGGAGGTAACTCACGTCAGTATACAGCAACACACTACACAGTTACACTGCCACTGTATATAACCTGTATACCTTATGTAGAAGAGGTAACTCATGTCACTCCACAGCAACACACAGCACTGTTACACTGCCACTGTATATAACCTACATACCTGACGTAGGAGAGGTATCTCATATCACTCTACAGCAACCAACACACTGTTACACAGCCACTGTATATAACCTACATACCTTATGTAGGGCAGGTAAATCATGTCACTCTACAGCAACACACCACACTGTTACACAGCCACTGTATATAACCTACATACCTGACATAGGGGAGCAATGGCATGCCACTCTACAGCAACACACTACACTGATACACTGCCACGGTATATTACCTCCATACCTTATGTAGGGGAGGTAACTGCTGTCACCCTACAGCAACAACCTACATATAACCTACATACCTGACATAGGGGAGCTATACGATCTACTTACTGTCAACACTGGAGTGAGTCTATGTACATGTCACCTCTATCTACTCACTGACAACACTGAAGTGAGTCTATGTACATGTCACCTCTATCTACTCACTGTTAACACTGGAGTAAGTCAATGTACATGGCGCCTCTATCTACTCACTGTCAACACTGGAGTGGGTCTATGCACATGTCAAGTACATGTACACACTGTCAACACTGGAGTAAGTCAATGTAGATGTCAAGTCTACCTACTCATTGTCAACATAGGATTGAGTCTATGTACATGTCAAGTATATCTACTTACTGTCAACACTGGAGAACGCGAAAATACGAGGGAATGTTGATTTAAAAATGAATGAATTAATGCTACCGATGTGGCACCATGAGGCTTTTGTAAAAAAATCGTCTCTATTACATCACTGTTATAGGTGGGTGGGTAAACTGCCACATTTGCCGTCAGGCAAGGCACTGGTCAGGGAAGAGTTATCTCAACTTTGCTTTTTCTTGCGTACATTGGGAGCTTCAGCAGATAGATACAGGAATATATCCTTTTCGTTTACCATGCATGTGTATTTCTTCCTGATGATATCCTGCACTTATCAGTTACAGTCCTTAAGGTCTACAAACATCTGTGGATTACTCATCCAAATAAGACGTTTAATGCATCAAAAAGTAAAAAACTGTTGTGTTTCATAAAACGAAGCAATTATTGGGTAAGCATGCTTAAAACAAAGTTACGTGAACTTTAATGAGAGTTGGATAGACGCAATCATTTTGCTAACACTCCAATAGTTTGAATATGGGTACTTAATCGTCCTATGGTCTTCCTTGAAAGGTTCCCCTCCTATAGTATAGTTTAACAAGAGCGGTCACCCTCCCATAGTATAGCACAGTATAGTGAATATCACTTGAAGATTAGTTTGGGACATTGACTTGATTGAACTTTGTTTTAAGTAGGAGAAAGTCCTCAATCTTGCGATTATTTAACGGCCTCGAACAAGCTTCACGTGCGAAAATAATCGTGAGATTTCGGACATTCTCCTATACTTATGTTGGATGACCTATGTTTGATAATGTAAAATATCAGAGGTTCTGCAAAGAATTCTTTCTTTTTAGCTTTTTGTTGAAGCAATGCACACTATTATTCTCTCCTCTCTGTTGGTCTAACCACTAGTGAGATAAAAAAAAAGAATGAAAAAGACGACTGATTTGGCCGGTTGGTCAGGATCGGTTACCTTGGTTGATCACATGTCATTGTATCCCGACTCCGTAGATCTTTGTTAAAAATATCAATCATTCGGTTGATGGCGTCGACGTCATATAGCCATACATGCTAACGTCATATAGATGGAATATTGCTATAAAAGAACATATGCCGAATGGACATGTATAACCTGCTTTGTTTATTAGCAAGGTGACCGTGCAGCACACACACGCACGCACGCACATACATATATATCGAGATTGTTTTATGACACGTGGGTTGTAGGGAGGGTGTACTGCTGGCCCACGTGGTAAGTATCAGGTCAGAGTTGACAGAAATACGGTCTGTGTACATGTACAATTATTACCTGTTATCTGTGTTGTCTGCTCCTCAGACACACTCAACTCCCGCAACACCACCTCTATTCTGATGTCCTCAATTGATGGGTCCAGCTCCTGCATGAAGTCAAGGAAGACCTTCTTGACCTTCCTGTGTTTAACAATCATGTCAATTGCATCCTCACTGGTCGTATATGCGAAAGAAAATATCAGACATCCCCGAGCCAACCTCGTTAGTCTAGCACGAAACAACTCTCTGATCCTTCTGCTAAAGCGGCGAATTGACTCCCTGGGGACTTGTCTGTTGGGCGCAGGATTGCAGTGCCAGCTTGTTTCATGTGTGCCACCTACACAGTTGACGTAGAAAACGTCTCCACTGATATGTATATTCCCTAATTTTATATGGATAGAAAGGGAAAAAGCAAAATTCATGTCAACTCATAAAATATGCATTAGCTGCCAATGTCTACTCAATAACATTTAAAATATTTGCAAAGATCTGCACCAATATGTATATTCCCTGAAATTATAACTGATAGGAAGGCAAATATATAACACATTTTAACACACGAACTGCACAGTACAAATGTGCAAATAACCACACGATAAGATGAAACATATCTATTAAGAATTTGGGAGCCATCTTATTGTACCTTGATGCATTTCCTGGACGTTTTGTATGCCGGATGCATTGGAAAGTATTGCGGTGCTATGTCCATCCAATCCAGTATTGATTGGACCAGACTCTGGAACAAGATGACGTTCATGAAGACACCAAACAAAATTTCTAACGTATTTGTCACATATATTGATAACATATGACATGACAGTACATCACCTTTCTGCTGTCTCTGTCTCTTTGCTCTCCTCCTTGCTGTTCTCTTTGCTGTTCCCTTTGTTGTCCTCCTTGCTGTTCTCTTTGCTGTTCCCTTTGTCGTCCTCCTTGCTGTTCTCTTTGCTGTTCCCTTTGCTGTCCTCCTTGCTGTTCTCTTTGCCTTCTGTACGACAGGTTTCATATTGATGTCTTCCACTTGTGAGCCGATCTCGTGAAGAAATAGCAAAATGGCTTTTTTTATTTCCAAATGTCTAGCCACCATCTGAATTGCTTTAAACTCCGTGTCATGTCCGAAGACAAATATCAAACTTCCGCTGTGAATGCTGGTCAGATGCTCACCGCGAGACTCCCATCTTTCCTTCAACTTTCCCAACTGTGGACAGAACTCTTTATTAAGAGATAGGTTTTGAGTGGGAGTACAGGTCCAGGATGTCTCATGAGGCCATGACTGGCAGTTTGTGAACTCGACTCTCAGAACACGTGCCTCAGTTACATATAGAATGACTGAAACATATGGAGCATTGACATGTTATCCTATTATGATACATAAGGGCTCAGGAAGTTACAAGAAGACTGACTTTCCTTCATTGACAATTTGGTTAAATGCTCTCTGGAAATAATATCAATGTATATATTTATACCATGGATCCTTTATGTTACAATATTTAAAACCACATATGACAGTATTAGTAGTGCATGATGTGTTTGTCATATACCCGTTCTGTTCACCGGTAGACTGATTAAGAGATGTACAGATAATTCCTTTGTTTCAGTAGTGAGCAGAAGCACAGATGATCAACTTAACACACTGAACACTCACGGTTATGATCAGGGATGTCTGCCCGGAGTTCACCTTGAAAATAAACTGACAAATATTCACAGGAACAAGACCTGACAGGAACAAGACATAACGCTTCTTACTTTGGAGGTTAATTAATGTAAATCAGGTAAACATACAACACTGACACTGCTTAGATAATGACAAAATTACAAGAATAATGCTTCTTGTTTCTTTTTCAAAATAATTCATAACCTGGACCAACACGGACAAACTAATCCATTCATACTTGTTTTATTTGATCTGTTCAAAACAACTTTCGATGTTTTGTTTGATAGGCATTACTTAGAAGTTGACGGATGACAAAGTAGACACAATTTATACCGAAAAGTCGCCTTCATAGTAATTAAAGAAGTTGTTATCCATAAATTGTGCCGCCTTTGTAACTGCCGATGTGCTTAGAATATTACCTGATGATTCATCAGAGGACAGCATCTCCTCGGGTGTTGATGACTCCGCCATCTCCCTGACAGTGTTTCTCTTCTTCCTAAGTATGGAGTAACAGCAGTTACACTAAACTTTTGAAATCATTAATATGATTTGGGGTCTTCAACACAATTGTAAACCTTTAGAAACTTCCATTGAAAAGGGACTTGTCAAAGCATACACACACTTGCATAAACTGAAATATATCAACCATTAAACCGATGACATTTTGTGAAGGCTCTAAACTGAGCGTATTTATTTCAGTATCACATATACATCCGCACACTTTGTCTGAGTACTCCTCATAAACTGATAAATGTATATTTGCCAACTGTTTGCTTGGTGAATTGAGGTCGTCAGAGCCTTGACTGCATTTGGTCTAAAAGGAAGAAAACAATGTACTTATTTCACAGTCAGTTATACACAGTTATAACACTAAATAGAACCAAAAGATGTCACTTCGACTGGAGTGTCTTTTTATATCAACATAATTTGACACTGTGCACCCCCCTCACAAAGGGAAGATAACTCCTGTCTTTCCAGCAACACAAAACACAGTTACACTGCCACCTGCTGGGATACTGTGCACGACATGCCTCACACAGGGGAGGTAACTCATGTCACTCTACAGCACTACACACTACACTGTTACACTGTCACTGTATGAAAGCTACATGCCTTACTCAGTGGAGTTAACTCATGTCAGTCTACAGCAACACACCACACTGTTACACTGCCATGGTATATTACCTCCATACATTATGTAGGGGAGGTAACTCATGTCAGTCTACAGCAACACACTACACTGTTACACTGCCACTGTATATAACCTCCATGCCTTATGTAGGGGAGGTAACTCCTGCCACTCTATAGCAACACATAGCACTGTCACAGTGCCACGGTATATAACCTCCATACCTTTTGTAGGGGAGGTAGCCTGATCAACATGTACCAATATCCTGGTTGTGAACAAGTTGGAAATTACATTGACACGTCTCCAGTATGACAGTATGAAGTGTCTGGTGGCAGACATTGAATAGGTTCAACTTTCAGTTCTGTTGATGGAGTTACAAAGAAATGCTAGTAACAAAAGCTAGAAAAGGGTACACCATGCCTAAACTCAGCTTAGCTGACAAACCCGTCATATGATTTTGGTATGATCAACTAATGCTGTAGAGAACAGTATGACTGTAGAAGTTCAACCTTTTCTTCTTTTAATAGTTATATATCCACAACACAAATACGAGTCTTTCAACACAACAACAAAAACCCATAAATTTCCACGTAGTGTAAGTATGAAAATGACTTCTTGTAATCAATGATTCACAGTGATTTCCATTCATATACACTTCTTCATTGTCTTGTCTTTTTCTCTAACTGAATTTTATTCAGAAATAATCTCTGGCGTTGACGTGACGGACTAACAGTTTACATGTGAACACATATATATTAATGGACAACAATAGTGAGTGAGTGAGTGAGTATGGTTTTACGCCGCATTTAGCAATATTCCAGCAATATCACGGCGGGGGACACCAGAAATGGGCTTCACACATTGTACCCATGTCGGGATTCGAACCCGGGTCTTCGGCGTGACGAGCGAACGCTTTAACCACTAGGCTAACCGACCGCCCGGACAACAATAGACAGACTAACAGTTTACATGTGAACACATATATAGTAATGGACAACAATAGACAGACGAAGAGACAATGACTTTGCCCTGGACATGCCACGTTTAGATGTGACTACCGACACGACCCAGGCGATAGTAGAATTATGAATATCATAACAGGACTTGTTGTGTCAGACAATGGCTCAATTGACTGTTGTTACGATTGTGTTTGTCTTGATTTCCCTAACGATATGTAACTCAACATTGTAGAAAAGTGAAGACGAGAGGTTATAATTCATGAACTGTATATACCTTGTCAAAACTGGGTGCTGTTAAGTCACTCTGTGACACCTGACTGAAACAGGTGTTATAACTAATTATACGTTTTGCCTGTAATATGTAAATAGAGAATCTCACCCGAGTGTCTTTTGATATCAAATATATCAACACGAGTTGATAAAAGTGGAAAAATTCCGAGGCTTGCCGAGTATTTTGGCCACTTTTATCAACGAGTATCAAAAGAAACGAGGTGAGATTTTATTTATCATTCAACATCTTTCAACTATTTCAATTTGTAGACATTAATTAGCAGTGTCTTCAGTGTAAAAGTACTGCACACAGCTTCAGTAGCAGAGCCATTAGTGATGTCATTTGATTGTGACGTCATGGTAACCAGTGCCGTCACAATAGTCTGCAAAGCATTGTGATGTAATTTGATTGCAGCGATATCTACGGTGTAGATTTGGTTTTGGTTTCGGAAGCTAAGTAGACTTATAGCTCAATGGAAAGGATGTCGCTGAGGGTGTGGTATCCTTGGATGTAAAGAATATTACTGTGGGTGTGGTATCATGGGTGTAAAGGATGTCGCTGTGGGTGTGGTATCCTGGATGTAAAGGATGTTGCTGTGAGTGTGGTATCCTGGGTGTAAAGGATGTAGCTGTGGGTGTTGTATCCTGGGTGTAAAGGATGTCGCTGTGGGTGTGGTATCCTCTCTGTAATGGATGTTGCTGTGGGTGTGGTATCCTGGGTGTAAAGGATGTCGCTGTGGGTGTGGTATCCTGGGTGTAAAGGAGTGAGTGAGTGAGTATGGTTTTACGCCGCTTTTAGCATTATTCCAGCAATATCACGGCGGGGGACACCAGAAATGGGCTTCACACATTGTACCCATGTCGGGAATCGAACCCGGGTCTTCGGCGTGACGAGCGAACGCTTTAACCACAAGGCTACCCGACCGCCCCGGGTGTAAAGGATGTCGCTGTGGGTGTGGTATCCTGGGTGTAAAGGATGTCGTTGTGGGTGTGGTATCTTGGGTGTAAAGGATGTCGCAGGGGGTGTGGTATCCTTGGTTTAAAGGATGTCGCAGTTAGGTGTGGTATCCTCGGTGTAAAGCATGTCGCCTTGCGTGTGGAATCCTTGGTGTAAAGGATGTTGCTGTGGGTGTGGTATCCTGGGTGTAAAGGATGTCGCAGGGGGTGTGGTATCCTTGGTGTACCATAGATGAACGTGTGTATTTGAATATATCATCTTACATGGTCTCACAAGGAATATCATCAGTGTATAATACACCCACAGTCTTTTATTCTTGCAGTTGTAGTTGTTGTGATGTGTGCTACCAAATGTTCAATTTCTCACGTTACCATAATTAATTTTACTATTCAGGATCGAAGTACCACAACTCTGACGGGCATTAGCTGACGTCGTTTGGATCCTCGGTAATCGAGAAATACACGAACCCCTTGAAGTCTACGGAAAGATGCGAGTGGTGACGAATGTCTAGGAGGATACTGGGTACAATACACCTTTTATGTCACAGGTAACTCTGTCACTGCTATACTGCTACTGACGTCATTCATTTACACCTACCTCGGCCTTCTACAATGAGGAACGCCCCTGAATACAGCCCCCACACAACAAGATCTTATTCGTCAATCTGAGTGTGACGAACGTTCGGGGATTCCCCTCGGAAATGAGGTCGTCAGAGCGTCAGCTCAAACCTAAACTAGAACAAGTGATGGAGAGGTTCCCTAAGTACCTTCACGGGATTTGTTTGTAACAGTCAAACACAGATGGAAGGATCCTATATAACAATGTTCCAAAATCTTACAAATTATTCTTGAAGTATGTAATTAACATGACAACACACACTACCTGACTTGCGCGAATCACTTTTCTCCTCCCAGTCTTCTAGATCCGGGTGGGTCGCCCAATCCGCCTCACACACACAGGTCCAGTGTACACAGGCCGCCTCACACACACAGATACAGTGCACACAGGCCGCCTCACACACACAGGTCCAGTGTACACAGGCCGCCTCACACACACACAGGTCCAGTGTACACGGGCCGCCTCACACACACAGGTCCAGTGTACACAGGCCGCCTGACACACACAGGTCCAGTGTACACAGGCCGCCTCACACACACAAGTAAAACTCTGGCTGTCGTATACCCTGTCCCACTCCACACTACACTGCAGAGGATTGAAAGAAGTGAGACCGGTGTGTATCTAGAGAGACAGTGGCACGGAGAGCTGGTCCCCCACTCCACTCTACACTGCTGAGGATTGAAAGAAGTGAGACCGGCGTGTATCTAGAGAGACAGTGGCACGCAGAGCTGGTCCCCCACTCAACACTACATAGCTTCCGGGTGTGACGCTCAATATACATTCGTCTGCACTCGGCCTTTTCCGTGCATGAAGTCAATACCAGTATTGATCGAACCTGTCCAGACTTGCCTACTGTACACATCTGGTCTTTTAAGATAACAATCATGAACATGCAGATATCACACAGTTTTTTAGTTCTATATAGGTATCAAATTGTCAGATAACAACCTGAGTACCTGGTAATGAACAATGTAATATCTGTATCTATTTTACAAGCAAAGAAGCTACAATAGAAAAAGTAACTGACCATAAAAAACTAGAGATATCTACATATAATTTTTGACATGTCATGCCATGATTTGTTCGCAAACGATAATCATACAGATTGCTCAAGAGAAAAGCCGTTGTTTATTTATGAAATATACGAGGAGTGGTTTATTCTCCCTGCAGTGTTTTATTTAGAGGTTATTACATGGCAGCTTTCATATCATACCCCATATCACCCCGAGAGCCCCATATCACCCCAAGACCCCCATATCACCCCCAGAGCCCCATAAAACCACGAGACCCCTTATCAACCCGAGACCCCCATATCAGCCCGAGACCCCCATAAACTCGGAGACCTTCATATCACCCTGAGACCTCCTTATCAACCCGAGACCCACATATCAGCCTGAGACCCTCATATTAGCCTGAGACCCCCATATCAACCTGAAACCCCCATATCAACCTGAGACCCTGATATCAACCTGAAACCCCCACATCAACCTGAGACCACGATATCAACCTGAAACCCCCATATCAACCTGAGACCCCGATATCAACCTGAAACACCCATATCAACCTGAAACCCCCACATCAGCCTGAGACCCCCATATCAACCAGAGATCCCCATATCAACCTGAGACCCCAATATCAACCTGAAACCCCGATATCAACCCGAGACCCCCCTATCAACCTGAAACCCCAATATCAATCTGATACCCCGATATCAACCTGAAACCCCCATATCAACCTGAGACCCCCATATCAGCCTGAAACCCCCATATAAGCCCGAGACTCCAACATCATCCCATGAGCCATATATCAGCCTGAGACCACCACCCATATCAGCCCGAGATCCCCATATCAGGCCGAGACCCCCATATCAGCCCGAGATCTCCATATCAGCCCGAGATCCCCATATCAGCCCGAGGACGCACATATCAGCCTGATATCCCCATATCAACACGAGAATCCCATAAAACCCAATACAACCATATTAGTCCAAGACCCCAATATCAGCCCAAGACACAAATATCAGTCCCAGACCCCGATATCAACCAGATACACCCATATCAGTTTGATACATCCATATGAGCCAGATACAAACATATCATATCAGCCAGTGACCCCCACATCAGCCCGAGACCCCCATATCAGCCAATGACCCCCACATCAGCTCGTGACCCCCATATCAGCCAGTGACCGCCATATCAGCCCATGGACCATATATCAGCCCGACACCCCCACATCAGTCCGTGACCCCCATATCAGCCCGAGACCCCAACATCAGCCCAAGACACCCACATCAGCCCGTGACCCCCACATCAGCCCGTGACCCCTACATCAGCCCGACACCCGGAGAGGGTGTGAGGGGAGCAGTCAATACAATGTCAGGGAAGGAGGAAGTACAACTGCTGACATCAGATACACTCGGAATGTCAACTGGCTTTTTGTCTCAAACAACCATAGAATGTTTGAATTATTTGTTATCGCCCTGCAAGATTGTCCGAGTACAGCATTTTAGAAACGGAGGAGTGTGTTTATGCCTTGACAAATAGAGTAAGTTATACACTGTAAGCCTAATGGGTTTAGTCATTGTGATGTTCTATCTGTGAATAACGAAACTGAATAAACTACAGTCAAACGCCGTTGTCTCCAACTCTCGAATGTATGTTTATGTGTATCCATGTGTATCCATGTGTGTGTGTGTGTGTGTGTGTGTGTGTGTGTGTGTGTGTGTGTGTGTGTGTGTGTGTGTGTGTGTGTGTGTGTGTGTGTGTGTGTGTGTGTGTGTGTCTGGTGTGTGTGTGCGTGTGCAAGTGCATGTGCATGTGCATGTGCATGTGCATGTGTATGTGTTTGTGTGTGTTTTAGTAGCTTTTAGATTTATAAGAGGCCATGATGCCATGTTCGCGGTAAGTGGTAGTCCGATCGCGGCTAACCTGTTGCGGCCTTTTCACTCCAGCTTTTATAAACAGGATACTCGTTTGGGTATCGGAATGCCAGTACTGATGTGTGCAGGCAGTTATCGCCTCCCTGCACGTGTTTCGGCGGCTGTAGGCGCTACCATTTGAGAGATGTCACTGGCAGTGTCGCCGGCTGTAGGCGCTACCATTGGAGAGATGTCACTGGCAGTGTCGCCAGGTGTAGGCGCTACCATTGGAGAGATGTCACTGTTAGTGTCCCCGGCTGTAGGCGCTACCATTGGAAAGAAGTCACTGGTAGTGTCGCCGGCTGTAGGCGCTACCATTGGAGAGATGTCACTGGCAGTGTCGGCGGCTGTAGGCGCTACCATTGGAGAGATGTCACTGGCAGTGTCGGCGGCTGTAGGCGCTACCATTGGAGAGATGTCACTCGTAGTGTCGGCGGCTGTAGGCGCTACCATTGGAGAGATGTCACTGGCAGTGTCGCCGGCTGTAGGCGCTACCATTTGAGAGATGTCACTGGTAGTGTCGCCAGGTGTAGGCGCTGCCATTGCAGAGATGTCACTGGCAGTGTCGGCGGCTGTAGGCGCTACCATTGGAGAGATGTCACTGTTAGTGTCGGCGGTTGTAGGCGCTACCATTGGAGAGATGTCACTGGCAGTGTCGGCGGCTGTAGGCGCTACCATTGGAGAGATGTCACTGTTAGTGTCGGCGGCTGTAGGCGCTACCATTAGAGAGATGTCACTGTTAGTGTCGCCAGGTGTAGGCGCTACCATTGGAGAGATGTCACTGGCAGTGTCGCCGGCTGTGTCACTGTTAGTGTCCCCGGCTGTAGGTGCTACCATTGGAGAGATGTCACTGGTACTGTCGCCAGGTGTAGGCGCTACCATTGGAGAGATGTCACTGGCAGTGTCGCCGGCTGTAGGCGCTACCATTGGAGAGATGTCACTGTTAGTGTCGGCGGCTGCAGGCGCTACCATTGGAGAGATGTCACTGTTAGTGTCGCCGGCTGTGTCACTGTTAGTGTCCCCGGCTGTAGGTGCTACAATTGGAGAGATGTCACTGGTACTGTCGCCAGGTGCAGGCGCTACCATTGGAGAGATGTCACTGTTAGTGTCGCCGGCTGTAGGCGCTTCCATTGGAGAGATGTCACTGGTAGTGTCGCCGGCTGTAGGCGCTACCATTGGAGAGATGTCACTGTTAGTGTCCCCGGCTGTAGGCGCTACCATTGGAGAGATGTCACTGGTACTGTCGCCAGGTGTAGGCGCTACCATTGCAGAGATGTCACTGGCAGTGTCGCCAGGTGTAGGCGCTACCATTGGAGAGATGTCACTGGCAGTGTCCCCGGCAGTAGGCGCTACCATTGGAGAGATGTCACTGGTAGTGTCGGCGGCTGTAGGCGCTACCATTGGAAAGATGTCACTGGCAGTGTCGGCGGCTGTGTCACTGTTAGTGTCCCCGGCTGTAGGTGCTACCATTGGAGAGATGTCACTGGTACTGTCGCCAGGTGTAGGCGCTACCATTGGAGAGATGTCACTGGCAGTGTCGCCGGCTGTAGGCGCTTCCATTGGAGAGATGTCAGTGGTAGTGTCGCCAGGTGTAGGCGCTACCATTGGAGAGATGTCACTGGCAGTGTCCCCGGCTGTAGGCGCTACCATTGGAGAGATGTCACTGTTAGTGTCGCCGGCTGTAGGCGCTACCATTGGAGAGATGTCACTGGTAGTGTCGGCGGCTGTAGGCGCTACCATTGGAGAGATGTCACTGGTAGTGTCGGCGGGTGTAGGCGCTACCATTGGAAAAAAGTCACTGGTAGTGTCGCCGGCTGTAGGCGCTGCCATTGGAGAGATGTCACTGGCAGTGTCGCCGGCTGTAGGCGCTACCATTGCAGAGATGTCACTGTTAGTGTCGCCGGCTGTAGACGCTACCATTGGAGAGATGTCACTGGTAGTGTCGGCGGCTGTAGGCGGTACCATTGGAGAGATGTCACTGGCAGTGTCGCCGGCTGTAGGCGCTACCATTGCAGAGATGTCCCTGGTAGTTTCGCAGGCTGTAGGCGCTACAATTGGAGAGATGTCACTGTTAGTGTCGGCGGCTGTAGGCGCTACCGTTGGAGAGATGTCACTGGCAGTGTCGGCGGCTGTAGGCGCTACCATTGGAGAGATGTCACTGGCAGTGTCGCCAGGTGTAGGTGCTACCGTTGGAGAGATGTCACTGGCAGTGTCGCCAGGTGTAGGCGCTACCATTGGAGAGATGTCACTGGCAGTGTCGGCGGCTGTAGGCGCTACCATTGGAGAGATGTCACTGTTAGTGTCGGCGGCTGTAGGCGCTACCATTGGAGAGATGTCACTGTTAGTGTCCCCGGCTGTAGGCGCTACCATTGGAGAGATGTCACTGGTACTGTCGCCAGGTGTAGGCGCTACCATTGGAGAGATGTCACTGGCAGAGTCGCCAGCTGTAGGCGCTTCTATTGGAGAGATGTCACTGGTAGTGTCGCCGGCTGTAGGCGCTACCATTGGAGATATGTCATCGTTAGTGTCCCCGGCTGTGGGCGCTACCATTGGAGAGATGTCACTGGCAGTGTCGCCAGCTGTAGGCGCTACCATTGGAGAGATGTCACTGGCAGTGTTCCCGGCTGTAGGCGCTACCATTGGAGAGATGTCACTGTTAGTGTCGGCGGCTGTAGGCGCTACCATTGGAGAGATGTCACAGTTAGTGTCCCCGGCTGTAGGCGCTACCATTGGAGAGATGTCACTGGCAGTGTCGGCGGCTGTAGGCGCTACCATTGGAGAGATGTCACTGGTAGTGTCGCCGGCTGTAGGCGCTACCATTGGAGAGATGTCACTGGCAGTGTCGCCAGGTGTAGGCGCTACCATTGGAGAGATGTCACTGGCAGTGTCGGCGGCTGCAGGCGCTACAATTGGAGAGATGTCACTGTAAGTGTCCCCGGCTGTAGGCGCTACCATTGGAGAGATGTCACTGTTAGTGTCGGCGGCTGTAGGCGCTTTCATTGGAGAGATGTCACTGGCAGTGTCGGCGGCTGAAGGCGCTACCATTGGAGAGATGTCACTGGCAGTGTCGATGGCTGTAGGCGCTACCATTGGAGAGATGTCACTGGTAGTGTCGGCGGCTGTAGGCGCTACCGTTGGAGAGATGTCCCTGGCAGTGTCGGCAGCTGTAGGCGGTACCATTGGAGATATCTCACTGGAAGTGTCGCCGGCTGTAGGCGCTTTCATTGGAGAGATGTCACTGTTAGTGTCGGCGGCTGTAGGCGCTACCGTTGGAGAGATGTCACTGGCAGTGTCGGCGGCTGTAGGCGCTACCATTGGAGAGATGTCACTGGCAGTGTCGGCGGCTGTAGGCGCTACCGTTGGAGAGATGTCACTGGCAGTGTCGGCAGCTGTAGGCGCTACCATTGGAGCGATCTCACTGGAAGTGTCGCCGGCTGTAGGCGCTTTCATTGGAGAGATGTCACTGTTAGTGTCGGCGGCTGTAGGCGCTACCGTTGTAGAGATGTCACTGGCAGTGTCGCCAGCTGTAGGCGCTACCATTGGAGAGATGTCACGGGCAGTGTCGCCAGGTGTAAACGCTACCATTTGAAAGATGTCACTGTTAGTGTCGCCGGCTGTGGGCGCTAACATTGGAGAGATGTCACTGGTAGTGTCGGCGGCTGTAGGCGCTTTCATTGGACAGATGTCACTGGCAGTGTCAGCGGCTGTAGGCGCTACCATTGGAGAGATGTCAATGTTAGTGTCCCCGGCTGTAGGCGCTACCATTGGAGAGATGTCACTGGCAGTGTCGCCGGCTGTAGGCGCTACCATTGGAGAGATGTCACTGGCAGTGTCGCCGGCTGTAGGCGCTACCATTGGAGAGATGTCACTGGCAGTGTCGCCGGCTGTAGGCGCTACCATTGGAGAGATGTCACTGGCAGTGTCACCGGCTGTAGGCGCTGCCATTGGAGAGATGTCACTGGCAGTGTCGGCGGCTGTAGGCGCTACCATTGGAGAGATGTCACTGGCAGTGTCGCCGGCTGTAGGCGCTACCATTGGAGAGATGTCACTGGCAGTGTCGCCAGCTGTAGGCGCTGCCATTGGAGAGATGTCACTGGTAGTGTCGGCGGCTGTAGGCGCTTTCATTGGAGAGATGTCACTGGCAGTGTCGGCGGCTGAAGGCGCTACCATTGGAGAGATGTCACTGGCAGTGTCGATGGCTGGAGGCGCTACCATTGGAGAGATGTCAGTGGCAGTGTCGGCGGCTGTAGGCGCTGCCATTGGAGAGATGTCACTGACAGTGTCGGCGGCTGTAGGCGCTTCCATTGGAGAGATGTCACTGGTAGTGTCGCCGGCTGTAGGAGCTTTCATTGGAGAGATGTCACTGGCAGTGTCGGCGGCTGTAGGCGCTTCCATTGGAGAGATGTCACTCGTAGTGTCCCGGGCTGTAGGCGATACCATTGGAGAGATGTCACTGTTAGTGTCCCCGGCTGTAGGCGCTACCATTGGAGAGATGTGATTAGAAGTGTCGCCAGGTGTAGGCGCTACCATTGGAGAGATGTCACTGGCAGTGTCGCCGGCTGTAGGCGCTACCATTGGAGAGATGTCACTGGTAGTGTCGCCGGCTGTAGGCGCTACCATTGGAGAGATGTCACTGTTAGTGTCCCCGGCTGTAGGCGCTACCATTGGAGAGATGTCACTGGCAGTGTCGGCGGCTGTAGGCGCTACCATTGGAAAGATGTCACTGTAAATGTCCCCGGCTGTAGCCGCTACCATTGGAGAGATGTCACTGGCAGTGTCGCCAGGTGTAGGCGCTACCATTGGAGAGATGTCACTGGCAGTGTCGGCGGCTGTAGGCGCTGCCATTGGAGAGATGTCACTGGCAGTGTCGCCTAATGTAGGCGCTTCCATTGGAGAGATGTCACTGGCAGTGTCGGCGGCTGTAGGCGCTACCATTGGAGAGATGTCACTGGCAGTGTCGCCGGCTGTAGGCGCTTCCATTGGAGAGATGTCACTGGCAGTGTCGGCGGCTGTAGGCGCTACCATTGGAGAGATGTCACTGGTAGTGTCGCCAGGTGTAGGCGCTACCATTGGAGAGATGTCACTGGTAGTGTCGCCGGCTCTAGGCGCTACCATTGGAGAGATGTCACTGGCAGTGTCGCCAGGTGTAGGCGCTACCATTTGAGAGATGTCACTGGTAGTGTCCCGGCTGTAGGCGCTACCATTGGAGAGATGTCACTGGTACTGTCGCCAGGTGTAGGTGCTACCATTGGAGAGATGTCACTGGCAGTGTCCCCGCCTGTAGGCGCTTCCATTGGAGAGATGTCACTGGTAGTTTCGCCGGCTGTAGGCGCTACCATTGGAGAGATGTCACTGTTAGTGTCGCCGGCTGTAGGCGCTACCATTGGAGAGATGTCACTGTTAGTGTCGGCGGCTGTAGGCGCTACCATTGGAAAGATGTCACTGTTAGTGTCGGCGGCTGTGTCACTGTTAGTGTCCCCGGCTGTAGGTGCTACCATTGGAGAGATGTCACTGGTACTGTCGCCAGGTGTAGGCGCTACCATTGGAGAGATGTCACTGGCAGTGTCGCCGGCTGTAGGCGCTTCCATTCGAGAGATGTCAGTGGTAGTGTCGCCAGGTGTAGGCGCTACCATTGGAGAGATGTCACTGGCAGTGTCCCCGGCTGTAGGCGCTACCATTGGAGAGATGTCACTGTTAGTGTCGCCGGCTGTAGGCGCTACCATTGGAGAGATGTCAGTGGTAGTGTCGGCGGGTGTAGGCGCTACCATTGGAGAGATGTCACTGGCAGTGTCGGCGGCTGTAGGCGCTACCATTGCAGAGATGTCCCTGGTAGTTTCGCAGGCTGTAGGCGCTTCCATTGGAGAGATGTCACTTGCAGTGTCGCCGGCTGTAGGCGCTACCATTGGAGAGATGTCACTTGCAGTGTCGCCGGCTGTAGGCGCTACCGTTGGAGAGATGTCACTGGCAGTGTCGGCAGCTGTAGGCGGTACCATTGGAGATATCTCACTGGAAGTGTCGCCGGCTGTAGGCGCTTTCATTGGAGAGATGTCACTGTTAGTGTCGGCGGCTGTAGGCGCTACCGTTGGAGAGATGTCACTGGCAGTGTCGGCGGCTGTAGGCGCTACCATTGGAGAGATGTCACTGGCAGTGTCGGCGGCTGTAGGCGCTACCGTTGGAGAGATGTCACTGGCAGTGTCGGCAGCTGTAGGCGCTACCATTGGAGAGATCTCACTGGAAGTGTCGCCGGCTGTAGGCGCTTTCATTGGAGAGATGTCACTGTTAGTGTCGGCGGCTGTAGGCGCTACCATTGGAGAGATGTCACTGGCAGTGTCGGCGGCTGTAGGCGCTACCGTTGGAAAGATGTCACTGGCAGTGTCGGCGGCTGTAGGCGCTACCATTGGAGAGATGTCACTGGCAGTGTCGCCGGCTGTAGGCGCTACCATTGGAGAGATGTCACTGGCAGTGTCACCGGCTGTAGGCGCTGCCATTGGAGAGATGTCACTGGCAGTGTCGGCGGCTGTAGGCGCTACCATTGGAGAGATGTCACTGGCAGTGTCGCCGGCTGTAGGCGCTACCATTGGAGAGATGTCACTGGCAGTGTCGCCGGCTGTAGGCGCTGCCATTGGAGAGATGTCACTGGTAGTGTCGGCGGCTGTAGGCGCTTTCATTGGAGAGATGTCACTGGCAGTGTCGGCGGCTGAAGGCGCTACCATTGGAGAGATGTCACTGGCAGTGTCGATGGCTGGAGGCGCTACCATTGGAGAGATGTCACTGGCAGTGTCGGCGGCTGTAGGCGCTTTCATTGGAGAGATGTCACTGGCAGTGTCGCCGGCTGTAGGCGCTACCATTGCAGAGATGTCCCTGGTAGTTTCGCAGGCTGTAGGCGCTTCCATTGGAGAGATGTCACTTGCAGTGTCGCCGGCTGTAGGCGCTACCATTGGAGAGATGTCACTGGCAGTTTCGCCAGGTGTAGGCGCTACCATTGGAGAGATGTCACTGGCAGTGTCGGCGGCTGCAGGCGCTACCTTTGGAGAGATGTCACTGTAAGTGTCGCCGGCTGTAGGCGCTACCATTGGAGAGATGTCACTGTTAGTGTCGGCGGCTGTAGGCGCTTTCATTGGAGAGATGTCACTGGCAGTGTCGGCGGCTTAAGGCGCTACCATTGGAGAGATGTCACTGGCAGTGTCGATGGCTGTAGGCGCTACCATTGGAGAAATGTCACTGGTAGTGTCGGCGGCTGTAGGCGCTACCGTTGGAGAGATGTCACTGGCAGTGTCGGCAGCTGTAGGCGCTACCATTGGAGATATCTCACTGGAAGTGTCGCCGGCTGTAGGCGCTTTCATCGAAGAGATGTCACTGTTAGTGTCGGCGGCTGTAGCCGCTACCGTTGGAGAGATGTCACTGGCAGTGTCGGCGGCTGTAGCCGCTACCGTTGGAGAGATGTCACTGGTAGTGTCGGCGGCAGTAGGCTCTACCGTTGGAGAGATGTCACTGGTAGTGTCGGCGGCTGTAGGCTCTACCGTTGGAGAGATGCCACTGGCAGTGTCGGCAGCTGTAGGCGCTACCATTGGAGAGATCTCACTGGAAGAGTCGCCGGCTGTAGGCGCTTTCATTGGAGAGATGTCACTGTTAGTGTCGGCGGCTGTAGGCGCTACCGTTGTAGAGATGTCACTGGCAGTGTCGGCGGCTGTAGGCGCTACCATTGGAGAGATGTCACTGGCAGTGTCGCCGGTTGTAGGCGCTACCATTGGAGAGATGTCACTGGCAGTGTCGCCGGCTGTAGGCGCTACCATTGGAGAGATGTCACTGGCAGTGTCACCGGCTGTAGGCGCTGCCATTGGAGAGATGTCACTGGCAGTGTCGGCGGCTGCAGGCGCTTTCATTGGAGAGATGTCACTGGCAGTGTCGGCGGCTGAAGGCGCTACCATTGGAGAGATGTCACTGGCAGTGTCGGCGGCTGTAGGCGCTACCATTGGAGAGATGTCACTGGTAGTGGCCCCTCCTGTAGGCGCTACCATTGGAGAGATGTCACTGGAAGTGTCGCCGGCTGTAGGCGCTGCCATTGGAGAGATATCACTGGCAGTGTCGGTGGCTGCAGACGCTGCCATTGGAGAGATGTCACTGGCAGTGTCGATGGCTGTAGGCGCTGCCATTGGAGAGATGTCACTGGCAGTGTCGGTGGCTGAAGGCGCTTTCATTGTAGAGATGTCACTGGAAGTGTCGCCGGCTGTAGCCGCTACCGTTGGAGAGATGTCACTGGCAGTGTCGGCGGCTGTAGGCGCTACCATTGGAGAGATGTCACTGGTAGTGTCGGCGGCTGTAGGCTCTACCGTTGGAGAGATGCCACTGGCAGTGTCGGCAGCTGTAGGCGCTACCATTGGAGAGATCTCACTGGAAGTGTCGCCGGCTGTAGGCGCTTTCATTGGAGAGATGTCACTGTTAGTGTCGCCGGCTGTAGGCGCTACCGTTGTAGAAATGTCACTGGCAGGGTCGGCGGCTGTAGGCGCTACCATTGGAGAGATGTCACTGGCAGTGTCGCCAGGTGTAAACGCTACCATTTGAAAGATGTCACAGTTAGTGTCGGCGGCTGTAGGCGCTACCATTGGAGAGATGTCACTGGCAGTGTCGCCAGGTGTAGGCGCTACCATTGGAGAGATGTGACTGGTAGTGTCGCCAGGTGTAGGCGCTACCATTGGAGAGATGTCACTGGTAGTGTCGCCGGCTCTAGGCGCTACCATTGGAGAGATGTCACTGGCAGTGTCGCCAGGTGTAGGCGCTACCATTGGAAAGATGTCACTGTTAGTGTCGGCGGCTGTGTCACTGTTAGTGTCCCCGGCTGTAGGTGCTACCATTGGAGAGATGTCACTGGTACTGTCGCCAGGTGTAGGCGCTACCATTGGAGAGATGTCACTGGCAGTGTCGCCGGCTGTAGGCGCTTCCATTTGAGAGATGTCAGTGGTAGTGTCGCCAGGTGTAGGCGCTACCATTGGAGAGATGTCACTGGCAGTGTCCCCGGCTGTAGGCGCTACCATTGGAGAGATGTCACTGTTAGTGTCGCCGGCTGTAGGCGCTACCATTGGAGAGATGTCACTGGTAGTGTCGGCGGGTGTAGGCGCTACCATTGGAGAGATGTCACTGGCAGTGTCGCCGGCTGTAGGCGCTACCATTGCAGAGATGTCCCTGGTAGTTTCGCAGGCTGTAGGCGCTTCCATTGGAGAGATGTCACTTGCAGTGTCGCCAGCTGTAGGCGCTACCATTGGAGAGATGTCACTGGCAGTTTCGCCAGGTGTAGGCGCTACCATTGGAGAGATGTCACTGGCAGTGTCGGCGGCTGCAGGCGCTACCATTGGAGAGATGTCACTGTAAGTGTCCCCGGCTGTAGGCGCTACCATTGGAGAGATGTCACTGTTAGTGTCGGCGGCTGTAGGCGCTTTCATTGGAGAGATGTCACTGGCAGTGTCGGCGGCTTAAGGCGCTACCATTGGAGAGATGTCACTGGCAGTGTCGATGGCTGTAGGCGCTACCATTGGAGAGATGTCACTGGTAGTGTCGGCGGCTGTGGGCGCTTTCATTGGAGAGATGTCACTGTTAGTGTCGGCGGCTGTAGCCGCTACCGTTGGAGAGATGTCACTGGCAGTGTCGGCGGCTGTAGGCGCTACCATTGGAGAGATGTCACTGGTAGTGTCGGCGGCTGTAGGCTCTACCGTTGGAGAGATGCCACTGGCAGTGTCGGCAGCTGTAGGCGCTACCATTGGAGAGATCTCACTGGAAGAGTCGCCGGCTGTAGGCGCTTTCATTGGAGAGATGTCACTGTTAGTGTCGGCGGCTGTAGGCGCTACCGTTGTAGAGATGTCACTGGCAGTGTCGGCGGCTGTAGGCGCTACCATTGGAGAGATGTCACTGGCAGTGTCGCCGGCTGTAGGCGCTACCATTGGAGAGATGTCACTGGCAGTGTCGCCGGCTGTAGGCGCTACCATTGGAGAGATGTCACTGGCAGTGTCACCGGCTGTAGGCGCTGCCATTGGAGAGATGTCACTGGCAGTGTCGGCGGCTGTAGGCGCTACCATTGGAGAGATGTCACTGGCAGTGTCGCCGGCTGTAGGCGCTACCATTGGAGAGATGTCACTGGCAGTGTCGATGGCTGTAGGCACTGCCATTGGAGAGATGTCACTGGTAGTGTCGGCGGCTGTAGGCGCTTTCATTGGAGAGATGTCACTGGCAGTGTCGGCGGCTGAAGGCGCTACCATTGGAGAGATGTCACTGGCAGTGTCGATGGCTGGAGGCGCTACCATTGGAGAGATGTCACTGGCAGTGTCGGCGGCTGTAGGCGCTTTCATTGGAGAGATGTCACTGGCAGTGTCGGCGGCTGAAGGCGCAACCATTGGAGAGATGTCACTGGCAGTGTCGGCGGCTGAAGGCGCTACCGTTGGAGAGATGTCACTGGCAGTGTCGGCGGCTGTAGGCGCTACCATTGGAGAGATGTCACTGGTAGTGTCGGCGGCTGTAGGCTCTACCGTTGGAGAGATGCCACTGGCAGTGTCGGCAGCTGTAGGCGCTACCATTGGAGAGATCTCACTGGAAGAGTCGCCGGCTGTAGGCGCTTTCATTGGAGAGATGTCACTGTTAGTGTCGGCGGCTGTAGGCGCTACCGTTGTAGAGATGTCACTGGCAGTGTCGGCGGCTGTAGGCGCTACCATTGGAGAGATGTCACTGGCAGTGTCGCCGGCTGTAGGCGCTACCATTGGAGAGATGTCACTGGCAGTGTCGCCGGCTGTAGGCGCTACCATTGGAGAGATGTCACTGGCAGTGTCACCGGCTGTAGGCGCTGCCATTGGAGAGATGTCACTGGCAGTGTCGGCGGCTGTAGGCGCTACCATTGGAGAGATGTCACTGGCAGTGTCGCCGGCTGTAGGCGCTACCATTGGAGAGATGTCACTGGCAGTGTCGATGGCTGTAGGCACTGCCATTGGAGAGATGTCACTGGTAGTGTCGGCGGCTGTAGGCGCTTTCATTGGAGAGATGTCACTGGCAGTGTCGGCGGCTGAAGGCGCTACCATTGGAGAGATGTCACTGGCAGTGTCGATGGCTGGAGGCGCTACCATTGGAGAGATGTCACTGGCAGTGTCGGCGGCTGTAGGCGCTTTCATTGGAGAGATGTCACTGGCAGTGTCGGCGGCTGAAGGCGCAACCATTGGAGAGATGTCACTGGCAGTGTCGGCGGCTGTAGGCGCTACCATTGGAGAGATGTCACTGGTAGTGTCGCCGGCTGTAGGCGCTACCATTGGAGAGATGTCACTGGAAGTGTCGCCGGCTGTAGGCGCTGCCATTGGAGAGATATCACTGGCATTGTCGGTGGCTGTAGACGCTGCCATTGGAGAGATGTCACTTGCAGTGTCGATGGCTGTAGGCGCTGCCATTGGAGAGATGTCACTGGCAGTGTCGGTGGCTGAAGGCGCTTTCATTGGAGAGATGTCACTGGAAGTGTCGCCGGCTGTAGGCGCTGCCATTGGAGAGATATCACTGGCAGTGTCGGTGGCTGTAGGCGCTGCCATTGGAGAGATGTCACTGTTAGTGTCGATGGCTGTAGGCGCTGCCATTGGAGAGATGTCACTGGTAGTGTCGGCGGCTGTAGGCGCTACCATTGGAGAGATGTCACTGGCAGTGTCGGCGGCTGTAGGCGCTACCATTGGAGAGATGTCACTGGCAGTGTCGCCGGCTGTAGGCGCTACCATTGGAGAGATGTCCCTGGTAGTTTCGCAGGCTGTAGGCGCTTCCATTGGAGAGATGTCACTTGCAGTGTCGCCGGCTGTAGGCGCTACCATTGGAGAGATGTCACTGGCAGTTTCGCCAGGTGTAGGCGCTACCATTGGAGAGATGTCACTGGCAGTGTCGGCGGCTGCAGGCGCTACCATTGGAGAGATGTCACTGGCAGTGTCGCCAGGTGTAGGCGCTACCATTGGAAAGATGTCACTGTTAGTGTCGGCGGCTGTGTCACTGTTAGTTTCCCCGGCTGTAGGTGCTACCATTGGAGAGATGTCACTGGTACTGTCGCCAGGTGTAGGCGCTACCATTGGAGAGATGTCACTGGCAGTGTCGGCGGCTGTAGGCGCTTCCATTCGAGAGATGTCAGTGGTAGTGTCGCCAGGTGTAGGCGCTACCATTGGAGAGATGTCACTGGCAGTGTCCCCGGCTGTAGGCGCTACCATTGGAGAGATGTCACTGTTAGTGTCGCCGGCTGTAGGCGCTACCATTGGAGAGATGTCACTGGTAGTGTCGGCGGGTGTAGGCGCTACCATTGGAGAGATGTCACTGGCAGAGTCGCCGGCTGTAGGCGCTACCATTGCAGAGATGTCCCTGGTAGTTTCGCAGGCTGTAGGCACTTCCATTGGAGAGATGTCACTTGCAGTGTCGCCGGCTGTAGGCGCTACCATTGGAGAGATGTCACTGGCAGTTTCGCCAGGTGTAGGCGCTACCATTGGAGAGATGTCACTGGCAGTGTCGGCGGCTGCAGGCGCTACCATTGGAGAGATGTCACTGTAAGTGTCCCCGGCTGTAGGCGCTACCATTGGAGAGATGTCACTGTTAGTGTCGGCGGCTGTAGGCGCTTTCATTGGAGAGATGTCACTGGCAGTGTCGGCGGCTTAAGGCGCTACCATTGGAGAGATGTCACTGGCAGTGTCGATGGCTGTAGGCGCTACCATTGGAGAGATGTCACTGGTAGTGTCGGCGGCTGTAGGCGCTACCGTTGGAGAGATGTCACTGGCAGTGTCGGCAGCTGTAGGCGCTACCATTGGAGATATCTCACTGGAAGTGTCGCCGGCTGTAGGCGCTTTCATTGGAGAGATGTCACTGTTAGTGTCGGCGGCTGTAGCCGCTACCGTTGGAGAGATGTCACTGGCAGTGTCGGCGGCTGTAGGCGCTACCATTGGAGAGATGTCACTGGTAGTGTCGGCGGCTGTAGGCTCTACCGTTGGAGAGATGCCACTGGCAGTGTCGGCAGCTGTAGGCGCTACCATTGGAGAGATCTCACTGGAAGAGTCGCCGGCTGTAGGCGCTTTCATTGGAGAGATGTCACTGTTAGTGTCGGCGGCTGTAGGCGCTACCGTTGTAGAGATGTCACTGGCAGTGTCGGCGGCTGTAGGCGCTACCATTGGAGAGATGTCACTGGCAGTGTCGCCGGCTGTAGGCGCTACCATTGGAGAGATGTCACTGGCAGTGTCGCCGGCTGTAGGCGCTACCATTGGAGAGATGTCACTGGCAGTGTCACCGGCTGTAGGCGCTGCCATTGGAGAGATGTCACTGGCAGTGTCGGCGGCTGTAGGCGCTACCATTGGAGAGATGTCACTGGCAGTGTCGCCGGCTGTAGGCGCTACCATTGGAGAGATGTCACTGGCAGTGTCGATGGCTGTAGGCGCTGCCATTGGAGAGATGTCACTGGTAGTGTCGGCGGCTGTAGGCGCTTTCATTGGAGAGATGTCACTGGCAGTGTCGGCGGCTGAAGGCGCTACCATTGGAGAGATGTCACTGGCAGTGTCGATGGCTGGAGGCGCTACCATTGGAGAGATGTCACTGGCAGTGTCGGCGGCTGTAGGCGCTTTCATTGGAGAGATGTCACTGGCAGTGTCGGCGGCTGAAGGCGCAACCATTGGAGAGATGTCACTGGCAGTGTCGGCGGCTGTAGGCGCTACCATTGGAGAGATGTCACTGGTAGTGTCGCCGGCTGTAGGCGCTACCATTGGAGAGATGTCACTGGAAGTGTCGCCGGCTGTAGGCGCTGCCATTGGAGAGATATCACTGGCAGTGTCGGTGGCTGTAGACGCTGCCATTGGAGAGATGTCACTTGCAGTGTCGATGGCTGTAGGCGCTGCCATTGGAGAGATGTCACTGGCAGTGTCGGCAGCTGTAGGCGCTACCATTGGAGATATCTCACTGGAAGTGTCGCCGGCTGTAGGCGCTTTCATTGGAGAGATGTCACTGTTAGTGTCGGCGGCTGTAGCCGCTACCGTTGGAGAGATGTCACTGGCAGTGTCGGCGGCTGTAGGCGCTACCATTGGAGAGATGTCACTGGTAGTGTCGGCGGCTGTATGCTCTACCGTTGGAGAGATGCCACTGGCAGTGTCGGCAGCTGTAGGCGCTACCATTGGAGAGATCTCACTGGAAGTGTCGCCGGCTGTAGGCGCTTTCATTGGAGAGATGTCACTGGAAGTGTCGCCGGCTGTAGGCGCTGCCATTGGAGAGATATCACTGGCAGTGTCGGTGGCTGTAGGCGCTGCCATTGGAGAGATGTCACTGTTAGTGTCGATGGCTGTAGGCGCTGCCATTGGAGAGATGTCACTGGCAGTGTCGCCGGCTGTAGGCGCTCCCATTGGAGAGATGTCACTGGCAGTGTCGGCGGCTGAAGGCGCTACCATTGGAGAGATGTCACTGGCAGTGTCGATGGCTGGAGGCGCTACCATTGGAGAGATGTCACTGGCAGTGTCGATGGCTGTAGACGCTGCCATTGGAGAGATATCACTGGCAGTGCCCGTGGCTGCAGGCGCTACCAATGGAGAGATGTCACTGGCAGTGTCGGCGGCTGTAGGCGCTACCATTGGAGAGATGTCACTGGCAGTGTCGGTGGCTGAAGGCGCTTTCATTGGAGAGATGTCACTGGAAGTGTCGCCGGCTGTAGGCGCTGCCATTGGAGAGTTATCACTGGCAGTGTCGGTGGCTGTAGGCGCTGCCATTGGAGAGATGTGTCTGTTAGTGTCGATGGCTGTAGGCGCTGCCATTGGAGAGATGTCACTGGCAGTGTCGGTGGCTGAAGGCGCTTTCATTGGAGAGATGTCACTGGCAGTGTCGCCGGCTGTAGGCGCTCCCATTGGAGAGATGTCACTGGCAGTGTCGGCGGCTGAAGGCGCTACCATTGGAGAGATGTCACTGGCAGTGTCGATGGCTGGAGGCGCTACCATTGGAGAGATGTCACTGGCAGTGTCGATGGCTGTAGGCGCTGCCATTGGAGAGATATCACTGGCAGTGCCCGTGGCTGTGGGCGCTACCATTGGAGAGATGTCACTGGCAGTGTCGGCGGCTGTAGGCGCTACCATTGGAGAGATGTCACTGGTAGTGTCGGCGGCTGTAGGCGCTACCATTGGAGAGATGTCACTTTCAGTGTCGGCGGCTGTAGGCGCTTCCATTGGAGAGATGTCACTGGTAGTTTCGCCGGATGTAGGCGCTACCATTGGAGAGATGTCACTGGCAGTGTCGGCGGCTGTAGGCGCTTCCATTGGAGAGATGTCACTGGTAGTTTCGCCGGCTGTAGGCGCTACCATTGGAGAGATGTCACTGGCAGTGTCGCCGGCTGTAGGCGCTGCCATTGGAGAGATATCACTGGCAGTGTCGGTGGCTGTGGGCGCTACCATTGGAGAGATGTCACTGGTAGTGTCGGCGACTGTAGGCGCTACCATTGGAGAGATGTCACTGGTAGTGTCGGCGACTGTAGGCGCTACCATTGGAGAGATGTCACTGGCAGTGTCGCAACTGAGCGTGACCAGAGACTGGGCTACCGTCTGGAAGGACAGCTAAATAAACTTGGAGGCTGGAGGCAATATTTGTTTAACGCATTTTTGTATAAACACTGATTGGTTATCTGTGATCTATAAAGATTTCGACAAAGGGCGAATTTTATTAATTTCTTCAGGCTAAACAAACAGACAAAAAGAACGGTGGAGCTCATCGGATGTCATCATTTGGAAATACCCCAGATGGTTATAATTTAATACTAAAAGAAGTATCCATGCAGTGAAAGCATTTTCGGATTTTGGATTGCGTAGATAATACGATTACTACTCCCTTGTTGTCATCCACGTTTTCTGGTATAACCCTACACTTGTGTATTTGTCGTCATTCACTTGATGCTCAGTTAATGAATTTATTACAGATACAATTAGTGGTAGCACCACTTAGATTACCTGACAAAGGTTCACATTTGGCATTTATTGAGTCTGGGGTAATTATTCAATCTAAATTCAGGTTTGAAGTGAGGTGAAATGTGTGTTATGTTATATGCACGTGGCAGCCCAGCAAGAGATGAATGATCAGTTGATTTATTTTTTTTGTAAATCAACGGATCGTTCCTAGTCATCAAAGGATTAACAGAAAATACGTTGATTGATTAATCACTGTTATCTTGCACGGTGGACATGTCAAAAGTGAGTGTTTACATGTCTAGGTTTACTAAAACAAAAGGAATCCACTCATATCATGGCGTGAAGTGCCGATGTAAAAATATACTTTGTTCAAAGGGTTAACTGATAATATGGTGTTTGATTGATCATTGTTATCTATCACTCAATGGATTTTTTAGGAACCGTGGACGTTATGAAAATAGTTGTCACGTGGGTTTTCTCAGCCGACCCTTGAGACTTGACACCTATAACAATCCAAGTGATCAGTTGAGAAACGAACACGGGTTATAATATCCCGAAACGATATATATCTTTTAAAATATTTGATTGTAACAGGGACACGTGATATCGAATAAGTTTCTTTGTAACAGCTGCAGACGAGTGGGATATTGTTCCTTTGTGTGGATATTCACGGATACATTCCTCGAACAAGGAAGCTGCCTAAAATGTATACACATAAATGTGGTAGCTTGTAATTATTGTATTTGCATTTTGTTTTCCTTCATTTGAACCGATACGTTCTTGTTTCTCAAAGTCTTGGTTGGGAATTTCTTCAATGCACGATAGACGTTGTTTTCACAAGTATTTTCCTTTGTAAGCGTGTATATATTACTGTCAATTTGTAAAATGTGATTCTCTCAGGCAATGTATAAAATGTGTAAATATTTCAGACATATTGACTAAAAAATCTGTCGAGATTGATTATGACGATCAAAAGCCTACAAACATCACAACAGTTTGTTATGTAGGATTAGAAGCCAAAAAAAATAGAAATGTACTTTTCAACGTAACAATTTCAGTCTGTTGGTGATGACATTAAACATCAATATGTTTGGAATTCGTTATCATAATAATACAGATGGAAATATTTTTCAGTCACTTTTTAAAATAACTGAATATTGAGACTATTAATAACTTTGTTACAAATTTTGACAGTAAAAAAATATACACACTATAAAAAAGCAATGCTCAGGTGAAATATTTACTTTGTGTTGCTAGTCAAAATACTGTAAACGAAAATCGCAAAATTACCAAGCAAGTGACTTATCACAACTTCGTCACCATTAGAGATGCTACCCACAAAGATACCTACATTTCCTTATTATCACGAAAACTGTATTTCATTTTGTTGATCAATGTGACCATACGCCCTTATTTCTACCCATGAAAGTGACTAGTGCTCTTACGAATGGCGCAGCAGAGGTCGCGAACTAGTCTAGATTTCTGCTGTACATCCGGGTACGCAGTGGGAAAAAACAATAACAAAGGCAACTACCAGTCCCGGGGAATTGCGTTAGATCAGTGATGAATTAAATTACACTCGTCAGTGGTTGTTACAAAGGGTAAATATCATACATCCAATTGCCATGATGTCCATATGTACAAATACTGTGATTGCCAAAATTCCAAATCGATGGTATGTGTTGAAAATGCTTCTGAGGTAGCACACAAGATTCGTCAGCGAAATTGAGGCTGGAAGTTATCTTATCAAGGACGAGAAACCTACGATTGTCAGTAGCCTCGGATCTGTGCCCAAGTCTGGCTCTAACGACATACGTTTGATCCACGACTGCAGCAGACCTGCTGGAGAAAGTGTCAATGCCTAAGTGAGTACCAATCATGTGACTTATGATAGTATAGACAAAGCTGTAGAACTGCTCCATAGAGACGGATATATGGCAAAGATTGACCTTAAAATGCTTACCACAGTGTGCCCCTCCACCAAGACTGCTATGATGCTCACGGCTTAATGTTAAAGTTCGAGGGGCATAACGTATATGACAGATACTAGGCTACCTTTCGGAGCAGCTAAAAGCCCAGAAATATTTCAAAGACTTAGCTCTAGTATAACCCGTTTCCTAAATCGTAAATGTGAATGTGAAATAGCTGCCCAGTGCCTAAAAGAAATCATTGAAAGTCTTGGGTTTATGATAAACTATGATAAGTACGTGCTCCCGACCCACATCGTGGTATTCCTAGGAATCGAGATCTACAGCATATATACGGGGATTATAAGACCGTCCCAGTAGTAATGGTGACATATAAATCATACGCAATTGACTAACAAAAGTAACTATAAGTACTGGATATTACTGAGATACATTCAAGAGATGGAGGACCGACAACGTGTATTCCCTTCAGTACTGTACTGTCATGGTGTGTGTGTGTGTGTGTGTGTGTGTGTGTGGGGGGGGGGGGGGGGCGCATATCCTACACCACGGGACCTGACTTGGTTGTGGTTGTGGTTACATGTATCAACTTCTTCAACCTCACCTTCTTCCGATCATTGACCAACAGGGGCAGCTGTTTCAACGGGACAACGCTCCACCGCACCCAGCTCGTGTCACGGTAGACTACCTTCATAATGCCAACATCAACGATTTGACCTGGCCGTCGAGATCTCCAGATCTCAACCAAATCGAACACCTCTTGGATGAACGCATGACATGCCAATGAACAGTTGTCAATGCCCTTGTACAACGACAACATGTGACTATCGTACTCCAAATTTGTATCAATGATATTAAATTAGATATGTCGACTTTATTAGGTACAATTCATTTCCTAAAACTTTACCTTTCACCGAAGTGGTAGACGTCTGAGGCCTGCATCACTTCGTCTTTCCACCTACATTTAGCTGACACGCCGTGATATAACTGTAATACTGTTAAAAGCGGCGTTCACCTCAACTCTCGTGGGGATCTGTAGACTGTGGACACCACTATATCACAGGATTGGTTGGGATCTGTAGACTGCTGACTACACTATATCATAGGGTTGTTGGGGATCTGTAGACTGTTGTCACCACTATGTCACAGGGTTGGTGGGGATCTGTAGACTGTTGACACCACTATATCACAGGGTTGTTGGGGATATGTAGGCTGCTGACACCACTATATCACAGGGTTGTTGGGGATCTGTAGGCTGCTGACACCACTATATCACAGGGTTGTTGGGGGTATGTAGGCTGCTGACACCACTATATCACAGGGTTGTTGGGGATATGTAGGCTGCTGACACCACTATGTCACAGGGTTGGTGGGGATCTGTAGGCTGCTGACACCACTATATCACAGGGTTATTGCGGATATGTAGGCTGCTGACACCACTATAGCACAGGGTTGTTGGGGATATGTAGGCTGCTGACACCACTATGTCACAGGGTTGGTGGGGATCTGTAGGCTGCTGACACCACTATAGCACAGGGTTGTTGGGGATATGTAGGCTGCTGACACCACTATATCACAGGGTTGGTGGGGATCTGTAGGCTGCTGACACCACTATATCACAGGGTTGTTGGGGATCTGTAGGCTGCTGACACCACTATATCACAGGGTTGCTAGGGATCTGTAGACTGCTGACACCACTACACTACAGGGTTGCTAGGGATCTGTAGACTGCTGACACCACTATATCACAAGGTTGTTGGGGATCTGTAGGCTGCTGACACCACTATATCACATGGTTGCTAGGGATCTGTAGACTGCTGACACCACTACACTACAGGGTTGCTAGGGATCTGTAGACTGCTGACACCACTACACTACAGGGTTGCTAGGGATCTGTAGGCTGCTGACACCATTACACTACAGGGTTGCTAGGGATCTGTAGACTGCTGACACCACTATAACACAGGGTTGTTGGGGATCTGTAGGCTGCTGACACCACTATATCACAGGGTTGCTAGGGATCTGTAGACTGCTGACACCACTACACTACAGGGTTGCTAGGGATCTGTAGACTGCTGACACCACTACACTACAGGGTTGCTAGGGATCTGTAGGCTGCTGACACCATTACACTACAGGGTTGCTAGGGATCTGTAGACTGCTGACACCACTATAACACAGGGTTGTTGGGGATATGTAGGCTGCTGACACCACTATGTCACAGGGTTGTTGGGGATCTGTAGGCTGCTGACACCACTATATCACAGGGTTGTTGGGGATATCTAGACTGTTAACACCACTATATCACAGGGTTGATTGGGATATCTAGACTGTTGACACCACTATACTACAGGATTGGTTGGGATCTGTAGGCTGCTGACACCACTTTACTACAGGGTTAGCAGGGATCTGTAGACTGCTGACACCACTATACTACAGGGTTGCTAGGGATCTGTAGACTGCTCCCACCACTATACTACAGGGTTGCTAGGTCTTTCCACCTACGGGGCGGTCGGGTAGCCTAGTGGTTAAAGCGTTCGCTCGTCACGCCGAAGACCCGGGTTCGATTCCCGACATGGGTACAATGTGTGAAGCCCATTTTCTGGTGTCCCCCGCCGTGATATTGCTGGAATATTGCTAAAAGCTTCGTAAAAC